GTGGTATATCATTATAATGATAAAAACGAGTAAATTGATTGATATTAATTTGTCAAGTTAAACATAGTAGGTACTTGTATGTGGCATAAAATTTAATTGCGCTACACTGCGATACATTTAATAATAACATCACTTGTTTTGCTTCTTGAACTTTGGTACTTAAAAATTACCTAACCATACGTGTTTCTTATGATTCGTAATTATAAATCATTTTAAGCCGAACAAATATGTATAATTGCCGAAATATGCATCGTCGCTTTATTATAATTATAATTAATGTCCATTCAGAATTGAAATTGATATGTTTTTCTTGTGGGATTTGTATAAAAATTAATAACGTCAATTCTAGCATTACTTATCAAGTCAGGTTTTATTCAATTTCAGTATTATTATTAAAAATTTGCATTTATTTTTACAAAACTATTGCAGCGATTTTCATTTAAAATTGTAATTAACAAGGCTGTTTAGTGAAAATAAAAACGAACTTTAAGTTGAAATTTCACTTGTCCGTTCCAGTCCCACTAATTTTTATACTTACTCTTTTGAGTCTTTATGCTTATAAAACAAAACAAAACAGAAAAAGAGGAAGAAAAACAAGTGTAATGTGGCATCGCGAGATTTTTATATGATTTTTTAATTAACGAAATTATAGAATTTTTCTTGGTAAGCAAAAAAGCAACTATCGTTAACAAAAATTTTCGTTTATAGAAGTATTTTTACAATATGATTTGAATAATTTCAACATATTTCTAATGACTAGTTTATTTACAAGCGTTATGTAACTGAATTGAAATAAATTTCTCCAGTAGATGCTTGTTGATTGATAAAGTTTTATTAACTATGTATTTAATTACGATTGCATAAAGCAAAGTATCATAACAATAGTTTTGATAAAAAAAACATAAACAATCGTTAAATATAATTTTATTATTAAATATTTATATTAAAATATTTCTTTAAATTATGAATTAATTAGTACTAATACGTTGCAGTTTTTGCCCCACGAATTATCATAATCGAGCAACTGCGTTGTATTTGCGAATTATCTCTAATATTTCTATTACAAATAAGTAAATTTATCTGAAAGACTTACAAAATCGAATGTATCCAAAATAATCCCCTCTGTAAATTAACGACAGAGAAATATTATGTAACTTTAACACACTTTTCTTCTTGGACAGCATACGTAGGCTGGCGTACGTATAAACGTACATAACATGACGCGATCATTAACTCTCATTCTTCTCATCACCGGCAACTACGACCGAAAAACCGCAAAGTGCAATCTTTGAAAAATGTCCCTCGTTTACAGTCTCTCTTGTCCATTGCACGAGCGCATATGAAAGATAAAAAAAAAATATATATATATATATATACGCGCGAGTGAAAAGAAATGCAGTGTGCGGCACGCCAATGTATTAAAGATGTATTAGCTGTACAGTCCGAAGAACAAGTAATTTATATCAATAATTGCTCGAATAATTGTCTATCGGAAGTTTATGAGAAATTAACGTAAACGGAGTATCATATAATAATATATAATATAAGAATTATATTCTAATCCTATTTTAAAGATCTCAACCATCTCTCTACTTGAAAAGAAATTTAATTTTTTTTTCGTTAACAATACTGAAGCCTGTATATCAAAACATTTCTTATTGTTGTTAATATTTTTAATAGCCAATAAAATATTGCTACCAATAATCGATGAAATTTAATGCATTTAGCAATGTTTGTTAAAAAAAAAAAAGTTTTGTTACATTTAAACAAAATGATTGTACATAATAGTAGTTGTTTATTAAATTTGAATATTAATTATTATCTTTCTTATCAACAAACAACTATTAAATATATTCAATAACGTACGGCTATTCGTTATTGTAAGATTATTCATTATTTATAACGTCTTGGGGAAAAATACTAAGTAATCAAGAGGAATGGGATCGGATACATTTTTTTTTTTTATTTTCCATTCATTGAAAAAATCAACAATAATCTATTCTGTAAATATAGTTCAGTATGTATATATATTCTGTAAATATAGTTTAGTATTATAGCTCAGTAATATTAATCATAATTTTTAATACCTTAATTAATTATGCAAGTTTTGTATGATATAGTGAACAAGGGCAAGAATGTATACAAAATAACAAAAAACCGTAAGAATTTGTTAAATACATGTATAAGTATTACAAACGTACAGCCCATGAATACAAAATATAGATATAACTTCACTTTTAAAATATCATTCTTCATTTACACTAACAATATACTTTATCTCAAAATAATGAAAATTACAATGTGACACGTAATAATAAAGTACCGGTAGATTTTAATATTATCATTAATATATAATGCCTGTCATGATTTCACATACCGTTTGCTACCTGCAAATGTCGATCACGTTTTTTAAAGTTTATCGCTGTATACCAGATTGTGCTTTGATTGTGCATTAAATTTACATTTAATAAAGTATTTTAATTTTATGCCAATGTTGAATTTCCGTTGTATTATTTATAAACTATACTATCTTATGTGCTTAATTATGAATAAATATTTTACTCTATATTATTTCGTTTTTTTCAACTATTTTTTCGTACTAGAAACCATGGACTGATAATAAAATTTTAATTATTTACAGTGAGACATTAATTTTAATCTTAGTTATTACAATCGTTTCCACTCATTTTCATGTATTACGATATTAAATACATATATATTTTTTATTAACTCCTTTGCTTAAACTTCTACTAAAACATCTACCTAGTAAACTAGAAAAGAAACAAAAAAAAAAAAAAAAAAAAGATATTTAATTTTAACGCTTTTTAATTATATAAACATAACTGTACAGAAATTAAAAAATTCATAATATTTATTGACAATTAAATACTTCTAAGTTATGATAAATTATAAGATAAAATTATAATGCCATAATAAAGCAAGATAGTTTAAGATATTTTAAGATACTTTAAATTTTGAAATTTTAAATTCATAAGAAATGTGTGATGAATATCAAAATGTTAAATTAATCATTAAATTCGTAATTACATTTATCAAGGTTTAGTATGAAACTAATGTTATTTGTTAAATTATTATTTCAAATTATTATACGTACCAATTAAATTCTGTTAATCATATTTTACATTTATGCTTAATGCTTGTACCATAAAAAATAAGAAATTAAGATCAATTTATCAAGAATACTTAATCACTATAGTTTTATTAATTAATAAATAAGGATACCAACATTATTCTAACCAACCAAATTCAAAATTATAGAAATTTCGGAAAAGCATGGTATAAAGGTATGCGTTTATGCCAAAGTATTTAGTTGCTTGTCGTTGTAGATGTCATTCATAAATCGTTACTCATTACTGAGTTATTCATGGGAAAAAACGAACGATATAATAAAAAATAATTTGATTTTTAAAGTGTTTTCTTCTTTAATGCATTAAAACAATTTTAATATTTTATATTTTTACATACGAAAATTGAATTTAATACCGTAGTTTATAATAAATGTGGGAAATTACAAAATTTAAACTTATTTTCTAAATTATAAACAAATTTTGCTTTAAATTTTAAATCTTTAAAAATGTTCGATTCATGACATAATTTTCTAATTGAATTATGTATGAAATTAATATTCATACAAATAATTATATAATGTAGGAATATTTTATTATTTAACATTAAACTCTATAGTTTTTATTTATGTTAATGTTTATGACAATAAATTTCTCCAAATTCAATATATATTAAATGAATTTTCCAATTTAGATAAACTCGCTTAGAATGAATAAAATTTCACTTTTATGTATAAGATCGTTTATGTATCGCTTAATTACATTGTTCTTATAATTCTAAGATCTGAACTCTTTTGTAATATTTTTAGTTCTTAAAAAAGAGATGAGAAATATACTACGGGACAATGATTACTTTCTCATTGAAATAAATTATTATTAATAGACTAAGAGAATGCACGTGTCGTTGACTTTAACATTTTATAAAAAAAATTAGCTGTAAAATTATATATGTAATATATTATTATGGATTTAACATTTGTTAAACAATAAATAAAATGAAAACGTAATTATTTATCACTCGTTTAGTGATCAAAAATAAATTTTTCTTTAATTAAATATAATTGAATATCGATAACAAATTTGAGCATATTCTTTTGAGTGTCATGTTGTTATTAATTAGATTGCAAACTAACTTTTGCAAACCTAGGTTGTATAATAGATGTTTGTTCTATTCTATTTAAAAAGAAAAATATTTAGTTTGAATTATATCTTTCAAATTTTTCCAGTGTATTATATTGTACATAAGAGACACGAATATGAATATTTTTCAAAATATCTTTAGTTTAGTTAGGAGCTGTTTCTTTCTTTTTTTCTTTTTTTTTTTTTTTCAAGCTACTATTAGCTAATTAGAAATGAATATATCGAATGTAGTTTAAAAATAAAATTTGAAATAAAATTTTTTATACTATCTTGCTTCATTGTATTAATCTTTATTATTATAGTTAATGCTATATTGTTTGCACACATATAGATAATACTTTGCAAAAACTGAATGTAAAAATACGAATAATAGAATAATGCTAATGGTTTAGAATGAAGCAGCGTGAGTTTAACAATGCACGGAATGGGAGCTAATAAAGCATCGATAAAAATTATCGAAATAAATGTCCAAGAATCAATATAGAAAAATAATCCATTGATCTTGGCTGAATCGCTTCTGATACAGACTGTAAAGCTAATACAACCTTAAAGGAAAGTCGGCCGGCTATCTCGACAAGGCTTGTCGAGCTCGCGAACCTACTCTGGAGAAAAGAGTGAATGAGAGTGGTAGGATGAGGAAGGGAGGGAGGGAGGGAGAGCGAGAGCGAGAGAGAGAGAGAGAGAGAGAGAGACGGGAGAGTAAGCAAGGCACGGAGAGTTTTGCGAGGAGAGGGCCGGACAATATTGCAGCGGGGATATAAGTATAAGAAGTCGAGGCGGTGGTCTGCCCCGAGCTAGTAAGGGAATATCGTATACACAAACCACGCACCACGCCCAAGTGGTCACATTGCGAAAAGAAAAAGCATGGCCTTACGCATTGCGACGATCGTAAGTACAAAACGATACAGTGTTTCGTGGTGATTTCCTGGAGCGCGAGTAATCCATAGTCAGGGCGAATATGATTATAGGGGTGGCGCGCCCGCGCGCTTGGTGATTTTTGAATTTCGCGGTAGTGGCAGATGCGTTGTACGCTGAAGCTTTATTGAGTGAGACGATGCTTGTGAAACATCGAGTCTACTGGTGGTCGTCGATAATTGGTTATAGATTTTCATAAGTTGTGACTTAATTCGAATTTAAAAATGGTTGACAATTGATGAATAGTTATTGGAATTTTATTACTTCTTTGTTAATAATTTTCGAGTGATCATGCATAAATACTAAATAAATACTTTTGCACAATAAATACATTTGTTCGTTGTTCGTAGTTTTTAAAAGTCAATATTGTAGTTTCCGTAATTGGAGAAAATTTTTACGTACTATTTAGGTACTATTAGGTATATTAGTTCATTTGAAAACTAAGATAATCAATGATTTTCTAACAATCTTCTTATTTACTATCAATTCTCTTATACAAATAGTAACATAAGTTGTTTTACTATATCAATAAATGTAAATATCTTCTGTAGAAATCGGAAGATTTGTTTAAATATTGATCCATTGGTATTGAGACATTTGTCATAATTGTTATACCAATAATTGGTTATGTTTATTCAGTATTAATATCATTTTAAATCAATTCAATTCCGTTTACATTTGATAAAACTTTGTCTCTAATTTGTAAATCTTTAATCGTGACAAATATTTCAAAACAAAGAATTTTTATTACGCGGTAAATATGCAAAATGTTCATTCATTATGCAATTGACGTTTGTTTTAACTTTCGACTAATCTGAATATTACAATATATAATTGATCGACTGTTTCGATACGTACTTTGAGTATTCATAAGAAATATAATCTGATTTATATAATATAAAAAATTTCTCTTATATGATCTTCATAAACATATTATGTAAATTGACGTAAAAGGTATGAAAAATTTAGTATATATTTGTTAAAAATTAATAATTTAGTTCTTTGGCATTCATTGAATTGAAAACTAGTTGTATCTAGTGTATATTGTGAGGAAGTTACAGTCAAGCAAATATTATTCAAACGAATGGGTACCTTATTTTATACATCCCGCATAATTTTTAATTTGCTTATTAATACAACGTTTATATAGAAATTCCGTCTCCCTATTCATGTATACTTTTATTGTATAACGTAGAGAATGGATTAAACTTCCATTGTATGGATATTTTTAATTTAATAAAAATATTAAAAATAGACAGTGACAATTGAAAACTACCCACTATACGAATATTTTTAATACATTACTAATTAACCAAAAATAATGAACATAAATATATTATATATAATAATAATTTCTGAACAATTCGATATATGAACAGATTGTAAATACGTTAACGTTATATACCAACAAAATATAAATCTATAAAATATAGAAAGTTAACTAGAGATTTTGTAATTTTTTTGTCCACAAATATTAAGTTCTTACTCTGTATATTAACTTTTAACAATTATTAGATATTATACTTACATTTGTTAAAAGAGTGAATATTATCTACCACAATGTGAGCTAAAAAATCTTTATAAATTTACCGAAGATGACATCATCGTTTGCCAAACAACTATTATTGACTTGTTACACGCTTTGCATAGTAAAACTCGATTAAAATTCTTAACAGTTTATTGATCTTTGCATACATTTTTTCTTTTATTTCATCGTTCAATGACCTTCAATGGCCTACATAAATAGCTGATAAACGAATTTATAGTTTGAATATCAATGTAAATAGTTTCAAATTTCGAGTGAAAATTGGAGAAATATTTCGAAATTCTATTGTAAAATGCATATATAAAAAATAAATTTAAATATTTTGTTGATGCAATAATATTCTAGTTTACAATATATTTCTAAATAAAAAAGTTTCCTATTCTTGGTTATAATACGACACGATTATTTTTATATAAAAATTACAATTTGTTTATTATATTTCCTACACATCATATGTAAAAATATTAGCTAAATAATTAATGTGGGCTCATTTTTAATTTATAATGTAATTTATTTCGCATAAATTAGTCTATTCTTATAGTCCTTGAAATTAGCTATTTTTGTTCTTAATAAATAATGTTTAATAATAAAAACAAAACAAAATTAAAATGTAATATTATTGATATTTTAGTTACATATATTATTATATAATATTTCAAAGCAATCAATAAACTCATTACAATAAGTGATTATGAGATATTAATTTATTCAAGAACAATAAAATAACGTGAAATAAAATAACTTTATTTCAAATATAAAAGTTTAATATCTTTCCACTCAGTATTTACTAACTATGCAATCTTTTTACATTTCATTGTACTTTATAATCGTACAAGTGTATTTCATTGTTTATTTGAAGAATAAAAATGTTAACCAGAGAAATCAAGGGATACAGAATTTAGAATGGCAATGAATGAAAAGATATATGAAACTTTACATAATATTTATATGATGAAATATAAAAAAATAAGTTGCATCCCATAATGTTGAGTAGTTTTTAAAATCATATATACATATAAATACGCATAAAAAAATGTGAATGTGTATATGCTCCAGAAAAATTGAATTTATAATAAGTCATGAGAATTTGTATAAATTATAAACTGTATATACACGCATTTGTATATACATATGCATATATAAAATTACGTATATTGGAAAATATGTAAAGCATCGTATAAGAAATAGAGAAAAGGATAGTGCGAACGTGTCAATATATTTAATTATTTCATAGTAAATATAGCGAAATACAAAAATTAAAATATTCAATTTTTCATCCAAGAATTTACTCTATTGATCATTCAATTGATACATGTTATTAAATAAATAATCTTTAATAAATATAAAACACATCGCTAAATCAAAACAAAATTCAGCCTCATAAATCCATTTGGAAAAGTAAGCCTGATTTTCTTCGTTTTCTTATCAACATCATTATAAATAACGCTCAAGAATTTATAAAGAATGTAGCAGTGTACAAATTAGTTGAAAAAAAAACTTAAACCTTGGTTTTCTATGCATAAAAATATTGAAGTGGGAATATGCAGTCTTAAATAAGTCAATGGTTTCGAAATAATGATTGGTTTAAAAAAATATGTGGTATTTTCTCGAAATCACAGACTTCTTAACACATGTTAAAAAGAGACGATGCAAGTGAAAAGAGAAAGCTTTCATTCATGCTACATTATATATTAAATAATTGTTAAAACAATGAGATGATAATGAAAAATAATTTCTTTAAATGTTCTAGTAAACTTAATTTAATGAAAAATTTAGTTAATTTAATTTTTTTTTATTTAACTGAATTCATAATTTACAAATTATAAACACTAGTTTCTTAAATATTTTATGCAGATTTGAATAGAATAAGAATGAAAAATCTTTATTTGATCGACGACTTTATTAATCGAATTTTATTCGCAAGGCTCCATAAATTATAAGTAATACATTAAATTTACTATTTATGAATAAACATCAGTTATTATACAGTAATATACTTTCGTTTAATTTATATCATTTGGTCAGTTAAGTTGATAAGACGTAACTATTTTTTCGTTATTTTAAATACTTAAATTGATTTCACAGTATAAATTAATTATGGAATTAAATATAAATTATGTTAAAATTTTAGATAAATATTTTATGAAACTTAATTAATTATAAATAGACATTTAATATTGAATAATTACGAAACACTTTCGTTTAAAATATTTTATTTCCAATTATATTATAACACTTATTTAATTAAATTTGCTACTGAATTATTTGAAGCAAAATTAGAGTAGATTTTTTGTTTTCGAATCAATCAAGTAGAATCAATTCTTATATTTTTGGAGCACTTATTTCCAAATTCGTTAATTTGTATAATTTATCTTATTTAACAATTTATTCTGATGGAAATTTAAATGTTTTTACATAAGCTAGATTTACTAAAAATATGTCACTTAAAAAAAAAAAAAAACTTTAAATTATCATTAGTATATTAATTATATTTTTAATAGTTAATATACGTCTAGATTAATATACTTACTACATACGATCATTGATGTTTTTAAAATATGAGTTTTTGTTTTATATTAAATTTGAAATTCATAGTAAATTTAAATCAATGAATTATGTGAAAGCTATATTAAAAACTCTTAAAGTGACTTTAAACGTTAATCGGACAATACTTGAAATTACAATTATATTTTCATTACGATAAATTGATATTCCGATAAAAAATTTTATATTATTAGCCGCCAAGAGAATTATTACTCCTTTACAAGACCTATTTTATAAAATAGAGACAATTAAAATTAAAATGGAAAATCATAATGGAAAATGAAATTCAACTTACAAGTTTATAATAATACCAGCTATTATTTTCTTCAACGACTTTAAATATTTTATTGATAATTATACGAAATTATAAATTGTTGTGATTTTAATTTCCAATTATTTTTTAGCTTAGATAAAATACTCCTTTTAAATAATCATGTCTAATAGCTAAGCATAAAATGTATTTAATTCGTACAAAATTATAGAACAAAATTATTAATAACAATTTATAAGATTATACGATATAAATGTCAGAATGATTAGAACGACTATTTATTAAAACAGAAAAACATTTTCTTATTTGTTTTAAACTTATTGAGAGGACAATTATTTTTTGGTACAAATCAATATACATGAAATTGAAAAATATTGTATGACATATAACGAACTTACATAAGTAAAACATTTTAAAATTAGTTGAAATTGAAGTCGAAAATCAGTGAAAAAATTAGTCTTTAGCATTAACAAAACTAATAACTTAATCCCAAGAGTCGAGCATCTTTTGAACATTTCACATAAGAAACGAGCCATGTTTAAGATAATATTAACACAGTTACTTCATAATATATATAACGACAGTTTAGTTGATCTGGGAACCATTATTTAT